TTTTACCCCACTTTGTATTAAGGAGGCTGCTAATCTTCCTGCTCTTTTTGACAATTTATGGATTTCTGCTTTCTGTAGGTCAGGGCTGACGCTCTTTGACACGATAAGCAAGCGCTGCTTTGTTGTGGTATTCAAAATGAACACCCAATCGATAGAGGGAACCTCACTTAGCCTCAACCCAGATAACAAACAATCATTTTAAAGACTGCCTCTTACTTAGCTCATCCTCAGGGATTCCCAGTATTGATCAGAGTCACATCAATGCTGCCTGCACTGTGAGGTTAACAATTCATTGACACACCCAAGTCATTATGTGTTTTGCATCCATTGTGTTGCTGAGATGCACCAAGACATCGTAGAGATCTGTTGTTTGTGTGTTCTTTAGAATAAGTAGTTGATAGCAATGAGTGGGTCAATCGTTTTAGACTGTTTCAAAGTGTGTATGTTGTATACTCTATGTGCATGCAGCTGTGCTAAAGCCTCCTTTAACTGCAGCAGGTAAGGACATGTTTAGGGCAGCATCTGTCTGTTATTTGACTGTGACTATAATTGGGGCATGATAGAAACAAGTACAGGAAAAGTGCAAGAGTTTGGGAATTATAAACATAAGGCCAGACAACGTTTTATATACAGTATATATATATTGTAATGCCAGCACACAGAATGTAAAGCAGGTTATTAGAATAGATCAGTGGCACACTAAAGGGACTTTAGATTATTATAATTATAATGAAAATGAGCCATGAATACTGAAAAGTCCACTCTATATCGTTCAAAGCGCCGACATCAAGAAAGGAAAGCAGAACCCTGAGTTAGATTGATATCTCTCTATTTTTTCTTCCATACCATCTTTACATTGTAAAGCAAGTTGGGACAAGAATGGGTTCTTAGTGCTTCTATATTCAGTGATCTGATCAGCTGTGTGCTTTGAGTGACCATGGGATGCACTGATTTTAAACAGTAGTTTGTTTGTTTCTTTGTGTTTTTGTGTGATTTTAGTGTTTTTAAGAGTTAGTTGGCATTCACTAAGTCACACACACAGACGAAACAATCACGGCACAATAGACCAGCATCCTCTGATTTATGTGAATTAAAATAGCAGTTTTTCTCAAAGGAATCTGGTGGATTTAGAAATTGAATCTAATTTGATATAACGGTTTTGGTTCCCTGGTTGGAAGTCGTATCTCCAAACTGGAGACATGGTGACGGCCATAATCTACAGGGGGGTCAAAGAGGGTGTGAAAATCATAGAAATGCTGTATTTTGCTTCACCTTCCATGGCTGCCACCAGCTGGTAATGGACCGCTCTCTTAAGGGTGTAAGAGTGGGCCCTTAAACCTGCACATAGCGGTCCAACTAGGCAACAGTCCCAGCCAGAAGCTATTTATTTGTATGGGTCTATTTGTTGTTCCATCCCGTGAAGAACTGTGCAGACTGCTGCTGCAGCGTGACGGTGGAGGAGGACCTATTTTTCCTCATGCTCTCATTCTGAAGCCTCTTTACAGTGTCAAGGATGACATCATCTGGGTTCTTGTTGAAGCCTAATGGAGGAAAGGTAGCACTTATAACCTGTCATCACATCAGAGTCCTGTGTTGCTGGGTAGAGGCATTTCTCAAGACGATTTTCACACCTTTTGCAGGAAAGCAATCATGAAATATGATTGGAAAGACACGTATGAAGACCCCCATTGTTGTATCCAATCATAACTTCCTCCTCTGCTTTTCCACTGTACGCTGTAATAGACTATAAATAATCATCACCTTTATGTTTCAGCAGGGCTTTGTCACTTGTAGTCACATTTGCTTGCCTGTTATCATAATATAATTACATTTTAGGCTGTCCTCCCAAAACCAAATTTATAGTAATGGTGTTTGTGTTTTACTTCATGCTGCTGAGGACAAAATGAAATGAGTACGGTATTTGAATATATTATGTGAAACCACAAAGTAAATCAATATAAAGAATCATTTCTATACACAGATATCAAATTTAATATGAATCTGTTGGCAAAGATTCGAAAGCTCGCTTTAGTCTGAGTAGAGTGTTTGAGCAAGCTTTGGTTGAATTCATTAAGACTGTAAGAAGAGGCAGGACACATTGGCTGAAATGCACACTGAGAACCCATCGGCTATTTTTGTTTTGAGCATGTTTGTATCTTTTGGGAAAAAATGCATCTACACCTATGATCTAAACACAATTATCTGTGTTTCCAGTGACATTGTCTTTAAACACCAACTCCATTCTTGCATCTGAAGGTGCCAATGACCGGAGGATGAAGTCTTAGCACATATATATATTTTTCTGTTATGCTGGAGTCAGTTTGCCAGACCAATAGTATATGGGTTTCGCATGAAAAACAAGTACTGCTATCTGCTCTTTAATTCAAAGACAGCTAAATGTTTTGGAAATGTTAGGAGAAATTATAACTACAGCATTATCATGATGTTTAAGGCTAGTATATAGGAAGAAAGTGGCTTTGTAGCTTGAGATAAGAGATTCAGATTAACTGAGCAGAGAGTCAGCCATCTAACTGTGTCGAGCAGGGAGAGATGGAGCACATGCTTGAACATGCATAGCCTGTCTCATTCCCTGAACGCACGCACACACACACACACACACACACACACACACACACACACACACACACACACACACACACACACACACACACTCACACACAAACTATGCCTTTGAACCTGTAGTCTCAGCTAGCAACGACACTCGCACACATAGGGAACAGATATTTGAAAATGATTTTTTTTTTTAAAACACATAACCAGTCACCAAGCAAATGACATGCATCCACACACACTTGGACCGGCAGACACGAATACTGTAAATAGGATGGGATGGTAAAAGCAGAGGAGGCTCCTCTTTAATTATCTGCATTGCAAACATTCCTTCACCAGCCGTGTTTTTTTCCCCTCAATTTGTATCCCCTGGTTGTTCGAGCTTGGGAACGTTGCCTGGTTCGTATTGGCTTGCTGTGGCTTGCTCATCTTGGTGCAAATGTGAGCATGTGTGACAAAGGGAGAGAGATAGAGACATAGAGCAGGAGGAGGGGTGACAAACAGGCTATTCTGTGCTCAGTCACATGGACGTCCACGAGAGGCAGGCAGGCAGAACAGCCGCCGCTACAGAGACCTGACATCGATTCAGATATCGTTTGCAGCTCGCCAGGATCACACTGGATGCAAAAGCACGGAAATCTGTCAGTTGTGGAGCGTGATGTAACCTGGCTGTTCAAAACAGAAGTGCATCCCTCCCTCCCAATTAAACCATGGGATGCTCTTTCTATACATGTATATATAAACATGTGACATATTAAAGTGAATCCTTTAATCCAAAATACTACAATGTCATAAACAATATATCTGTTAATAATACGTGAAAGAAAAACTGAAATAAAAGGCTTATTTAATCTCACTCATTCATGTATATGCTAAATTGAGACTGTTGTAAACATATCTGTATCTTTTTATGAATTTGCCCATTTAGTGGTTTCTCTTTCCTGAGCCATGCCTCAATTATTATGCTGAGTGTTACATGTCTATAATTATGCATCTATTTCAGGCCTTCCTGGGGAAAACAGTCCTTTTATTGCCTCTGTCTTTTGCCTATATCCTGTTATTAGACTGAAAATGATCAAAACACATCAGATGTGATACTGCCTATTACTGAAATGATTACCATTTAATATGTGTGATGTTTGCATTTATTATTCTCTCTGTGAAACATATTTCAGCGCTTTTTACAGAGCTATTTATTCGATGTTCAAATGTAAAACCAACAGTCTTGGGACAAACTTAAGTAAAAGCGTATCTGAGCATTTTTCAAACAAAATATTTGCATGATTATGTAAATTAGGCCCTATTCGAACAGCACTGGTTTTATCTGAGTAATTTGTAATTATCTGCCATGTTTTATCAAGCGATAATATTAGTCCTGTGCGATTCGCAAAAGCATAGGGGTGTTTTGATTTTTAAGGTTTTCACTTTTGTGAACATTATACAAACATAAAAAAACAAAAACGCTTATAATATTGAACATTAAAAGTAATTTAGTATAATATTTACGATATAAGCAGATGTTATGCAGACTTCTCCCCTTGTTACATTAGTCCTGTTCCAGTAGGGCAGGGATCACCAACTACATTTGTCCAAGGGCCAACATTTATCCAATAGACACTTTCGCGGGCCAGCGATTTTTATATATAGCCCAGAATTTAGTGGAGCACTAAATTCAGGTACTGCGGAGCACATAAAGCTTAGCAGACTCTTCACGCTAACGAAGGATCACTTCGAGGCTACCGTCCCGCAGCTCTTGCCTCTCTGTTGGACTCTGTCGCAGCGGGGCTACTGCTGTGCTGCGGAGCGCATAAAGCAGACTCTTCACAACGAAGGATCACTTCTTCTTCAAGGCGGGGAAGGCTACGCAGTCTACTGTCCCGCAGCTGCTGCCTCTCTGTTGGACTCTGGTACTGCACATTACTCACGAGACGTTGTAAAAAAAAAAATGAGTGGGGGGCGAACGCACTAACCACTCCGCTAACGCCACAGTCACCCCCGTCGTGCGGACCGGATGAGAATGTCTGGCGGGCCGGATGTGGCCCGCGGGCCGCCAGTTGATGGTCACTGCATGGGGCATTTTATTTGTACCCCTTTACATGTAATTCCAAGTTGTAGACGAAATGACCCGCACACACACATTGCAATCTCTACAGCCGTGCAGCTAGCTTGGCCCTGAAGTATATTTTCTCACTAACAGGGTACAGAGGGCTTCCTAAGGACTTGCCCTTGTAGCTGGCGTTACTGTGTGCTGTGCTTCCTCTCGCTGACAGGCCCCTACTTGTGTTTGACTGTTATTACATAATGTTGCTCCGCTGCGTCCACCCTGTGGTATATAGAGCACTAATGATGTTGAGTAATGGAGCCTTTCTGTCTCCAAGCGACTAACACAATCATCCCTGTCTCTCTCCTTCTTCCTGTCTCTCTCTCAGATGCTGCTGCTAGAAAAGCCTTCATCACTGAGGTGAGCGACCATCTGTCCCTGTGATCATAACGCTTCTCTTTTTAGTTCCTTTTTAATCTCCACATCAATAACAAGTAGTGCTTTGGTTTTACCCAGACACTTATGAAACCACTCGCCCTCGAAGGTTTGATCTGAGGATCTGATGCAAGTTATATTTGGGTCAATAAATATTAACTGTAAATAATTACCCTCGATTAGTGCTCAAAGGCTGACACAACATTTATAACAGCCTACAAGAATTGCAAGAGACTATTTAAATATTGCTTTAGTTTTTTCGGTCTTTGCTAGACAATGTAGCTTATTTTATATTAATCCTGCTAATTTAATAAATCCCATCCATCAAGCGCTTCAGCTACGGCACTGTACTTTAAAGCATCCTTTTGATGTATGGCACAGTTTGTTTCAAACCAAAAAGCTCAATGAACAGCTTCTACCATTACAACTTCTTTCTTAATTTAGATAAGCTTACAAACGGTGCTATCAGACCTTCATACTTTACACATGTTATCGCATCTCATTTGAGTTAGAATGATGAAATAGGCAAGGTTACACACTAAGTAAAGATCCTTAGAACAGAGAAACCAAGTTAGCATGTTGCTTCAAAGTGAGCACGTGGTCTACTCTGAAAATCAGTTAATAAGATCATTTGGAGATTTTCTTTTTAATGAGCTCTTCTGTGTCACTCTGCAGAAATATAAATGTTAATAACCAGATGCAGATCAACCTGTGTAACACAAGTCTCTCTGTCTTTGTCCCCCCAGATGCCCTCGTCCTCAGGCCAGCCTGGTCAGGGGAAGAAGATTGGCCACAGAGGAGTCGATGCATCAGGGGAAACCACTTACAAGAAGGTAAAGCAGAGAGTTCATTTTGCTCTCTAAAAACTATCTACTTCAAATGGAGCTATCGACCGAAATAACCAATTACCAAGTGGGATTTTCCACTCATCTGATCCTTTATGTACCAGATCTAGAAATAAATTACTACAATCACCTTGGGAGTTACTTAATTAAAGCTTCAACCCATACAGTCTGTGCTTTGGTGAAATCAATGTCTGTGTATTTCATGTTTCAAGTATGAAACAAGTCCTGTTTCTCATTTGAAGCCAGCAAAAGGCTAGTCACTGTGACCTTTTTACCTGTGCTGGACTATGGTGATTTGATCTATATGAATGCACCTGCCCATTGCCTGGAAAAGTTAGATGCCGCCTATCACAGTGCCCTGAGATTTGTTACTAACTGTAAAGCACTTACTCATCACTGTACCCTGTATGCCAGGGCAGGTCTGCCTTCACTAACTGTACGGAGGCTCAGTCATTGGTACATGTTCATTTACAAAGCNCGGGTTACAATTAGTTACAATGAGAACTGTAACGGGTAGTATATTACCCAAATGTCATTAGTAATGCGTTACATTACTTTGTTACAGCAAAAAGTAATACATTACTGTAACTCCTTTTGTAACGCGTTACACCCAACACTGTTCAGTAGTGATGTCACAGTGCTCAGTAGTGATGTCACAGTGTTCCGTAGAGATGTCACAATGTTGGGTAGTGATGTCACAGGGTTCCGTAGTGATGTCACAGTGTTCCGTAGTGATGTCACAGAGTTCAGTAGTGATGTCACAGTGTTCCGTAGAGATGTCACAGTGTTGGGTAGTGATGTCACAGTGTTCCGTAGTGATGTCACAGTGTTCCCTAGTGATGTCAGTGATGTTCCGGAATGGAAGAATTCCTTTATATATTTTTTTCCAGTTTTTCTGTCCCTGGATTTAGTTTTTCTGTGTTTTCTCTCTCGTTTCCTCCTCAGGGTTTTAAGGACATTCATCTGGATCGCTTAATGCATGGCTTGAATCATTAACAAATTCTAAAATAAAAAAACGTATATTGAAAGTAATACAATTCTAAATAAACAAAAAAAACAAAGTACCCTGTAAAAAAAACATAAAATGACCTTGTTTTAGTTTAAAATGTTGCATAAACACAGGAATTAGGTCTAGGTTGATATAAAAGAAAGGATAAAAGCGTGCTGGGGGCTTTTTAAACATAATGTTCTGGAATTTAAGAAGTAATTTGATTTGTTTCCAGTTTTTCTGTCCCTGGATTCAGTTTCTCTCTCTTTTCTCTCCTCAGGGTTTTAAGGACATTAATCTGGAGCGCATTTTTTCCAGTTTTTCTGTCCCTGGATTCAGCGTTTTCTCTGGTTTCTCTCTGGTTTCTCTCCTCAGGGTTTTAAGGACATTAATCTGGAGCGTTTTATGCACGGAGGAGCGAACGTGACGGGCTTCCAGCTGGTGGACTTCAGTAACCCCATGGTCATAAAGCTGATGCAGCGCTGGAACAAACTGGACCAGAGGGAGTACCCCGGCTCCGACGCCCCCCCCAAGGTATGTCTAACGGTAATGCACTTTGTCTGTTTTTTGGGAGGGGATTTTGGGGTATTTTAGGGATTAGAATTAGTGCCGATTCAATT